GGCCTTAACCGCTACAGTCCCATTTCCAGGAATTTTTCCTCCGTAGATCCTCTTAGAGATGGTAAAGGGTATAGTTTTAAAAAGAGGTGGCTGGAAAATGACCCCAACCTTTCCTCGCACGAGAAAGTCTGGTGACATATTATTTTTGATGCCTTCAGTTAGGCTAATTTAACACGGAATTGTCACTGTGACTGGAAAGGATTCCAGCTTCCGGGACTAAGCCACAGCAAGACACTTGATGTCCTTCGCCTGAGAAGCAGTTTCATCGAGGCTTCTGCCTCGGGGCAATGTGCTCACCAGAGAAAGGAATGTTGGATGTCCTTTGAACTCCCAGGGACAGTCACCAGAAGAAATGATGCTAGCCTCCACCTAAGAAATCTAATTTTGAAAAACTGTGAAATCCAAATTTAAGTCATCAGCAGATTAAGGAGGTCTGGGAAATGACGGACATCAACCTTTTGATAAGGGTGGTCCAACCTGTTTTTATTTGTGAATTGTGTAACCGTGTATGGCAGGGTTGTGTTAAAGTCGACTTGTCCCAGCTAGTATGAAATGCAGTCTCTTCATAGGCCGGGACAGGCTTGTTTGTGTAAGCTAGCCATCTCGTTGTTCTCAAATTCCTACCGAAAGGCGTTGGGGGCCTATGACTGATGCCTAACTTGGATACTTAAGTGGGGAGAAGAACTAACCTGCCAAGGCAGGTGAAGATAAGTCCTGTGTTTGGGGCGATTTCTGTCCCTCTGTAGGTACTCAGAGCGGTCCACATCCTAGCTCAGAGCCTAGTAAAGACCTTTCCAAGAAATACTCGTTGAAAGAGACTGATTGGATTTCCCCACTCTTTTCAGTCTTTGTCCGTGAAAAGGTTTGTCTTCTTGTTTAGAAACAACAACGAACCCGGGTTTTGTGCTCATGATCCAGTTAAACCCGCCTGGCTGCATTTTCAGTAATCCCCAGTTCCCGGGAGCCTCAGGAAACACGGGGTGTCCTCCCTGAGCACTGCTCCCACAAGCACAGTGGGGTGGGCCTCCACTGTCTGGATTCGATGTGGGTTTTAGTCTCCCACTGACAGGCATCCAAAGTGAGGGGCCCCTGCAGGAAAGTTGCTTGTTGGGAATTAGCTTCTTTAAGCCCTTAGCACCTTTAAATAAACACCACCCTGAAACTGAATTGGCCCATGGATGGAATTCACTTCCTCTTTGAGACAATACACAATTACTCCCACATCAGTCAGTTTACCAGTAGAATAAAATGCTAAGCTGGGTGCCATGGAAAAAAACCAGAAAGTGCCTGAATTTTAAGGAACTTCGAGTAGTAATTCAATAAGGAAGGCATTTGGGAGAAAAGTGAATAATACAAGATACTGTGTTGGCACCTGGTGAGTTAAGAAACCAGCAGGAGGGGCTAGAGAGAGAGAGAGGCTCAGAAGTTAAGATCATGTACTGCTCTGGCAGGGGATCAGAACTCCGTTCCTAGCACCTGCATTGATTGGGTGGTTCACTGCCTGTAACTGCAGCTCCCAGAGAATCCCATGCCTCTGGCCTCTGGGGGCACCTGCACGCACACGTACCTACCCACACACAGACACATACATATAATTGAAAATAAAATAAATCCTCTTAAAAGGAAAGAAAAGAAGGAAGGAAGGAAGGAAGGAAGGAAGGAAGGAAGGAAGGAAGGAAGGAAGGAAGGAAAGAAGGAAGGAAGGAAGGAAGGAAGGAAGGAAGGAAGGAAGGAAGGAAGGAAGGAAAGGAGGGAGGAAGGAAAGGAGGGAGGAAGGAAGGAAGGAAGGAAGGAAGGAAGGAAGGAAGGAAGGAAGGAAGGAAAGGAGGGAGGAAGGAAGGAAAGAAGGAAAGAAGGAAGACAGACAGCAGGTACATGGAGGGGACCAGGTAGGAAAGGCTGTGAAGCCAGTGTGCCCCCTGTAGGGCTGTCGAGCAGAGAAGGACTTAGAAGATTTGCACATGTTCCAGGAGAGTAGAAGTGTGTCTTGCATTGAAAGTCACTGTTCGGATAGGATGTTTAGAGATGTGTGCTAGAGACTCCAGTGCTAATCTAGAGTCCCAGAAACAGAACCACCATGTGATGCGACCCTCGGAGCCCTGCCCTGTACAAGAGTGCCTGCTCAAGTAAAGTCAAGTCCAGGAGAGGCTGAAATCCAGCTCAGTTTGGCTCCTCTCCAAGTTCTTGCTAGGCCGTATGTGCTCAGAGCAAGGTACATCTGTCTCTGCTGAGCCAAGTATCAGGAGAGACACCCTCTTCTGAGTGGTTCTTAGGGGGGGCAGCTCTTTCCATACAAGACAGCCACAGCTGTGCCTCCAAGAGGCAATCTGACCCTGTGTAAAATTTAGGAAGTATTGAAGTGGATGCTGAAATGAAGTCATCTCCTACATAAAAGAAGTCAGTCTCTCTGGTTCCCAAGGAGCACTTGACTGCTCTTCCAGAAGTCCTAAATTCAATTCCCAGCAACCACATGGTAGCTTGCAAACATCTCTAACGGGATCTGAACTCCTCTTCTGATGTGCATGAAGACAGAGCACTCATACACATAAAATACCTGAATAGAGAGAACAGGCAAAGATGGCCTGCCTTAGTTAGGCTTTCTGTTGCTGTGAAGAGACACCATGACCATGGCAACTCTTATATAGGAAAACATTGAATTGGGGTGGCTCACAGTTTCAGAGGTTTAGTCCATTATCATCGTGGAGACATGGCGGCATGCAGGCAGACATGGTGCTGGAGAAGGAGCTGAGAGTCCTACATCTTGATCAGAAGGCAACAGGAAGTGAACTGAGATACTGGGAGTAGCTTGAGCATAGATGAGACCTCACCTGCCCCCATCCCAGTGACACACTTCCTCCAACAAGGCCACACTTCCTAATAGTGCCACTCCCTTTGGGAGCCGTTTTCTTTCAAACCACCACATGACCTTGCCTCTTAACAATAGGTAAACTCTTTGAGGTTACAAATTAAATTGGCCCTGAGGTTAAATAAAGTACTTTTTTTTTTCTAAACTTTTAAAGTAAAGCATTTTTTCTACTGTATAGACCAGGCTGGCCCTCACACTCACAGAGATACGCCTGCTTCTACATCCCAAGTGCTGGGATTAAAGGCGTGTGCCTCCACATCTGGCCCAGTCATAGTTCAAAGGCTTCCATTGTGCCTCTTGTCTTATGAAGCAGTGCAGTGTGGACTAAGCCCTCTTCATATACCTTGAGAAAAACTGAAGGAGAGGGTTGGTCTCTGAACTTCAGTATTTATCTGCTTGGAAAAAAAGAGAAATGCTAATTACAAAATGAGAGTACCAGCCATTTCTGGGATGATGAGTTGGTTTTGCTTGTCAGATATACTCAGTCTTGATTTCAATGGCAGGATATAATTCCCATTGGGGTGGCCTGCAGCATCCGCATGCTGTGAAACATGGTTAATGAGCATACACAGGACTTAGCCCACCTGCATGTTAACCTCCTGCCTGCTCACATGCAAGCAGAAATAGCAAATAGATGATAAATTAGGATTAAACTCAGCTAATGCGTCACAGCGATGCCGCTTTATTGCATCTGACTTTCTGCTCTGTCTCGGTAGAGTGCGGGGAAACCTCAGAAGTGTGTCTCCTGAGCTTTTACGGCCCAGGCTAAGATCAAAGACGGTCTGGACTGTGAATACCACCTTTGTTCTCCTTCAGTTTCACTTCTTTCCCACTTCCCACGTCGCAAACCATCCCAAGGCCGTCTCCATCCACCAACTGGTGTGCCTGCCTCATCCACCACGCTGGCAGTCATCCATTTGTCGGCGGTTCAGTGAACAAACCCTCTTGATTTACATTCTTCTCTACCCTCTTCCTGTCTCTCTTACCAAGATCAGGCTTAGTTTTTCCATAGCCCATTGTTCACAGCCCACTGCCATGCTGTGTTGAATGGTTAATATAAAGATGAACGCAATTCTTGCCCCACCTTGGAACTCCCATATTGGATAAGATGAAAAAGTGGGTGAGTTGGGGTGGGAGAAAGGGATGGATGGATGGATGGATGGATGGATGGATGGGTGGGTGGGTGGGTGGATGGGTGGAGGGGTGGGTGGAGGGGTGGATGAATGGGTGGATGGATGGATGGGTGGGTGGATGGATGGATGGATGGATGGATGGATGGGTGGGTGGGTGGGTGGATGGATGGATGGATGGATGGATGGGTGGATGGGTGGAGGGGTGGGTGGAGGGGTGGATGAATGGGTGGATGGATGGGTGGGTGGATGGATGGATGGATGGATGGATGGATGGATGGATGGTGGGTGGGTGGATGGATGGGTAGAGGGGTGGGTGGATGAAATTAGAAATAGAACGTATATACAAATACCTCATGAGGGGACAGAACTAAAATAGATTTGAGCTCCGTGGGCAAGATATTCAGTGAGGGCCTCTGATTTCCTACCTATAAAATGAAGGTAATAATTCCCACTTAGCTTGGGTGGCTGTAAAGATTAGAGTCTGTAAATTGCTTAGGGAAGTGCGTAGTTAAAACAACAACCCGGAGTGGGACCGTCATAAGTATAACAAAAGGTGATAAGTGACATAAGAGAAGTGCAAACAGAGAGGGTGGGGGTTCTCGACACCTGCAGGAGGCCACCCATGTGTGTGAGCCATGAGCTTGCGCTTGCGCACAGGGACTTTCCCAGCCTCCAGGTGATCTGCAGCACAGTACACGCCTTGGCTGGGCAGAGCTGAGCAGCTCGGGGCCACAGGCACAGGCCAGGAGCCGGGCAAGTCCTGGGCTGGGCGGTCAGACATTTACAAGGGAAGCAGGTGTCACCTGCAGGGACTGCCTGCCATTAAGGCTCCCACAGAGTGGCTTCAGGATGGAGGCTGGGAAGGACCTCAGCTGCCAGCGTTGACCAGGCTGCCAGTGAGGAATGAAGATCATTCCTCTCTCTAGAACCCGGGAGCACTTCATTGCTTCTCCCGCCTCCCTCTGGATGTCTAAAGTGAAGCGCTTTTCTCTCTTCTCCAGCTTGGAGGCTGAGAATGGTGTGGAGGACAGGAAGAAGATCAGCAAGTCGCCAACAGCCCAGTCCCCTACCTCGTCAGTGGAGGCTGAGTCCCCAGACCAGAAGAGAAGCATTGGCCTGTGGTGAGTCTTCAGTGGACCCTTTGTTCTCGGGCTTGTAGAGAACACTGGCGCTTCTGGTTTTATGGTTGTGGCTCAACTGTACGCAGATCATGCCCTGAGCATGGCCCTGGTTTTTGCCCTGTTACTCTCATGTCTTCCTAGCAGGACCTTTTGCTCCTGCTCCTCAACCTCTGCAGAAGGGCTGCCTCTTTCTGAAAACACTGATGTGTTGACCGAGGAAGCCAGCGGGTCTACTCTCAATGCAGAATGCGCCCAGTGTCTGCTCAGCCTCCACATACGCACACCGCCCTCACTTTTCCTGGGAGCCACGGGAAAGAGCAGAGGAGAACCCATCCCAAGGATCTGCTGAGCTACCCATGTCCTGGGACTGGGGCTATGAAGGAGACCTGGTTTGGCTGTAAGGGAGGAGGAGTGATGTGTCTTAATACAGAGCTGTAGGCTCTATCACTCTCAGAGGCAAAAACTACCAAGGGGGAGCTTAGACGTATTTGTGGCCAGAGGAATAAGTGTGAGAAGTTTTGTTGTTATTGTTTTAATTTTGGTTTTGTTTTTTGGTTCCGGGGATCAAACCTGAGGCTGAACACACACAACTGTTCTCCCACCGAGCTATGTCCCCAGGCTTAAATGTGGTTTTTAGGACTCTCCACAAAGGGGAAGTGCTCTCCTCCCCATTATTGTAGCTGTTAGACGCCCTGCCCTCCCCCGCCTCTGCCAGGAGACAGTTAACCAAGTCCTACCTTTCCCTTCATCCCTGGCTCTCCACCTCTGTCTCCTTTCGGCCCTCTCCTAAATCAATGCCTGTAGTGTAACTCCTCACCCAGATTTCCCTTTTCAGGTACCACTCCCAATAATTTCTGTCTTCCCTGCACACCCTGTTTGTGGAGTCTCATCTGTCACCATTTTTCTATAGCCGTTTTCCCGGCAGAGCACTCTGCCCCACTCACCAATGACACACACACACACACACACACACACACACACACACACACACACAAGAGCACAATGTGTGCGCTCTCACAGTTCTTTCGCTGTGACTGACTGGGGAGTTACCTTGCAACTGCTTGGGTTCTCTCTGACTTCCCCAGGCTTCAAATGAGAACTGTGCGTGCATCAGTAGGAGATGTGGGGAACCACGAGGGTATCCGGCCTGGCAGTGGTGCAGAGGGCCGGGCACTGACGCTCTGCTCATGACGTCTGGAAATTCTTAACCGTTTGCGTGCACCTTCATTTAGCACTGGGCTTTGGTCTTGCTTGTGGGCAGCTGTAGGAAGTGAGACTACCATGGCCGAGACGATGCGGAGAAATCAGTACTATGCAAAGAAGCTTCCCGTCTGCACCACAGGGCTGCCCCTATGCCACTGTGCCTTTCAAGCCCTTAAAGAGAGAGCTGCCCTTCTTACTGTGTTTGCCTACCCTGCATAGTCCTTCAGAACATCTGCCTGCCACCTTCTAATTCCAATAACGTGCGTTGAACCAACAGAAGTGGTGCATTCCATCCTTATTTTATTTGCTGCTGTCATTTTGTTTTCTTGATGTTTGTTTGTTTTGAGACAGGGTCTCTCTGTGCAGACCAGGCTAGCCTCAAACTCACAGAGATCCATTTGCCTCTGCCTCCCGAGTGCTCGGGTTAAGTGTGTGCACCACCACACCCAGCATTGTTTGGTTGTCATTGTTTATATGTGATGTACTGTGTAGCTGAGGCTTGCCCCTAACTCACTGTATCCCCCAGGATGGCCTTAAATTCATGATCTTCCTGCCTCAGTCTCCCAAATACTAGGACTACAGTCGGGCACTGTCATACCTATCTAAATGTCATTATTATTTTTGACATTTGTAAAAATAATTATCTTTTCAGGTCGAGTATAGGCAAACTCATACATAGTTTAAAATAATAATAATAATAATAATAATAATCCCAGAATTCCCAGAGAACATTTTAGCTAGTCCAGAGCTGGTCAAGTCCATCTACTGTGAGTTGCTGAGAGGTCCTTTTCCTGATTTACGGATCATAAACTGCTGGGAGAAGCCTAAACATTGTACAGCCTATGTTCTCATAGCAGAGAAAACCAGCATCTACTGTCTGCCCAGCGTCCGTCCTGTCTGTCCCTCTGTGGCATCTGAATTCATTCAGATTCCCCCTAGATCTACTTTGAACCAAATAAGTAGTTTCAGTTTAGGAAACTGTGTCATATTATGGACCTGCTGTCTACTATTTCCAGCCACTAGCAATAAAGCAACTACATAATTATAAAATACATGCGTGCATCAATTCTAGAACTCATATACGCTTTCCACTTTGAAATGACTGTTCTCAGCTCCAGGGTTGAAGTAAATGCTCAGACTCACACACATCTGCTTAAAGTGGAGAGGCAGACTTAAATCAACCTGCAACCAAGATTCCAGAGTTCTAGCCTCTGCCTTTAACAGACAAGGGAAGATTCGGATTTTATGATGGTGTCTGTGTGGTATGCCTTGTGTGCGCACGATGGGGAAGGTTATGTGAGCCCATGTGTATACACTGAGAGACCAGAGGAGGAATTCAAGTGTCCTTTTCTCTCTCTCTTCATCTTATTCCTTTTGACAAGGTCTCTTGCTGAGCATGGAGTCCACCATTTTCAGCTAGGCCAGTGGCAATAAACCCAGCAAACCCCCTTATCTCTACCCAACCCAAAATGCTGAGGTTACAGACTAACACAGACATGCCTGGCTTTTTACGTGGGTACTCGGGATCCAAGACTGGGTCTTCATGCGTTAATAACACTCATTCTTTACCCACTAAGCCGTCTTTCCAAACCCCACTCTTGTGTTTGGAAGATTCTGAGTAGCTCAGGGTGGCCTCAAATGCATTCATCCCTGCCAACCAAACTGCAGAAACAGGGAGACTTTTGGAAGAGGTGTGGACTGTGGACAAATGGGACCGACAATGCTACCTTTGATGATCTGGAAGAGGCACAGCCGTGTGGAGCACCACCCTCGGTGGGTGGAGCACTTCCTTACACAGTATTGCTTTCTGAGACTTCTCAATGCGTTCTTCTCACTCCCTACAGGCGCCATGAGCAGGACCAGAAAACAAGTGGGAAATCAAACTGTCAGACCCCCTTATCCAAAGCCTCATGCCTTAGCCTTCCATGTCCTAGCATCACAGACATGCACCACCATGCCCGGCATGCACTGCCTTTAGCAAAAAGAAGAAGAAAAAAAAATGTTTGATGCATGTGCCCACAAGCTCTCTAAGGATAAAGACTGTCTTGTGTGCCTAAGGCCTTCAGCACAATGCTCCACTTAGTTAATTCTTATTAAATATTAATGGATTGTGAAACAAAAATATTCCTTGATTGAGCTTCAGCTGTAATTTTATTGGGTAATGGGCCTCAAGGACTCCTCTTTCTACTGATTAGAAACACTGTTGAACTGATATAATTACTTTCACATCTCAAATGCCCTTTCTGCAGTTCATCATGGCAGCCTGCTGAGTTCATCCTGGTCATGTGATTCACAAATGCCCTCAGAGTTCAGTGAGCTCTGACCAGTACCTAGAAGAAGAAAACTAATGTCAGTCTTTCGCGTGACATGGTACAACAGTGAGGGTTTATAATGAGTGGCATAGACAGTTCCTTGTGTAATCTCTGTGGGTTTTATTTCCCCAGGTCAAAATCCAGTTTTGATGGTTCCACTTGGTCGGGTGATAAGAATGAGTGTAAAGCCGAAAGTAAGACTGAAAGAAAGAAGTCTTCGTCTTCCAGCCAGGTAATGAGGGACTGCAGGGTGTGTGGGCTCTGGGGGTGACACAGCCATGGGAGCCAATGGAGAGTAAGAATCCAGAAATGCAGTGGACTACCAACCAGGGCCAAAGTAGGCACCGGGTTTAGAGAATGTGAAGGACAGATGGGCGCTGCTCGTCTGGCCGACCTGATTCCACAGCTGAGCCATCTGCACACATGGAGAGGCGGAATGCAAGGCTGTGGGACAGAGCCTGACACTCGGGTGCTTGTCTGATATCTCACAGAGTGGGGGGGAGCGCTGCATCCACGAATTATAATACAGTCTCATCAGGTACCTGCCGCACAGAGAAGCAAGACCTATGAACACACAGGTCACAACTCTGTCTGTGCTGAATACACCCAGAGAGGTGACAGAATCCACCTTTACTGGGGCCAGATTGGGGGAATTCGAGTTTTATTTGGGGGTTTTGGTTCTAGGAATTGAACCCAAGTCCTGTGTGCCAAGGACATACTCCACTACTAAGCAAGACCCCTCAACACCAGTGTCCTGCAGGTTGTTTTTATACACGTCTCCCCTAAATGCATGAACTCGTGCCTTTTAAGAACTAAGCAAAAGAGTGGGCACGGGCATGAAATTTAATTTTTTGATTTTCAATTTCCACAGCTATCCTACCAAGGTGTGCCCTTTTTAAAGATTGTTTTTTGAAGCCAGGCGGTGGTGGCTCACACCTTTAATCCCAGCACTCAGGAGGCAGAGGCAGGCGGATCTCTGTGAGTTCGAGGCCAACCTGGGCTACAGAGTGAGTCCCAGGAAAGGAGCAAAGCTACACAGAGAAACCCTGTCTTGAAAAACCATAAAAAAAAAAAAAGATTGTTTTTTGCCCTCCCTCATGGGGGACAGTCAACAGTCAGATAATATACTTATATGCTGTGTTGATTTTTTTCCCCTCTTCCTTTCTTTCTCCCCAGCCCCCCCACCCACCCACAACAATACTCTGCTGCCTAGGTTGCCATTGAACTCATGATGGTCCTCTTGTTTATTCTTCCAAGAGCTATAATAGAATATCTCCAACCTTTTTTCTTACCTTTTTTTTCAGACTTAATAGCCTGATCTAGAGCTTTTCTTTATGCCAATAGATGGTCTGGTTTTGTCGTTGAGAGCTCTGCTGGTTCAGATAGCACAGCATCAAAGACCCTGCTTTCCAGAGTTCCTATCACAGTGGTTCTCAGCCTATGGGTAGTGACCCCCTTGGAGGTTGAACGACCCTTTCACAGGGGTCACATATCAGATATCCTGAATATAAAACATTTACATTTTGATTCATAACAGTAGCAAAATTACAGTTTTGAAATAGCAATGAAATAATTTTATGGTATGGATGGGCAGTATTAGGAAGGTTGAGAACCACTGTCTTAGCACATACTTTCTTAGGAGCGTTCTAGAAGCAGAGCAACCGGTCACTAAAGGACCTAGATCAGTCTCTCAGTCACTGTGTGGCCATGTTCCTCAATACCCCTGATTCACAGTGTCCTAACCCTGGAATGGGGTGCCACCTACTTGGAGTTGGGGTGCTGATGATGCTTGTGGCAAGCATTTCACTAGCTACAAATTGCTGGCTGTATATTATCTCCACAGTTGTAGAGCCAGGTGCAATTTGCAGACACTTGGGCCTTGTACCACCCTGGAGTGTTATATCCTGCTCGTCTGCCTTTGGCCTCAGGTGCTTTTGTGGCCGCGTAGTACTGGTGACCACATGTTGTCCTGAGTGGTGGGCTCTCCCAATGTGTTACTCTGTGTAAGCCTGGAAGTATCCCTCTAAGGGAGGGAATTCCTTTGACATCAGAAACAGAAAAAAAGAAACTGAGAGACCCAGGGGAGCTAAATGGTGAGGGCATGACCACACACCAAGGCAGAAGTAGGGCCAAGGACTTCAAGTTCAGGGTTAGCTGAGTGCAAAGCTTCTAAGTCCTGAGCTTTCCCCAGGGCACTTGGGTGTATGGCTCTAGCACCTTCCCTGGTGAAAGTGCTTAGAATGTCGTCTGCTGTCTTATCGGGAGTACCTTTGCCCTGATCTGATGCTCAGCTGGCCACCCAACAAGGTGTTAATTATGTTGGAACATGAACCTATGTGATCCTGCGTCCCCTGTGTCTCCCTGAAGGACTGAATTGGAAAATTAGTAGTTAAACTAGTGTGATGGTTGGCAACCTCTGGTGACGGTGCTGATGTGTGTGTTTTGCCCTCCCGCAGTACAAGGCGAACATGCACTTTCACAAGTTATTTCTTGATGTCCCGACTGAAGAGCCGCTGAGGCAAAGTAAGTCCTACCTGTAATTGGTTTAAGTTATATATTTAAAAGTCTGTCTGAAGGAGCTGGAGACATGGCTCGGCAGTTTCAGAGGACCTGGGTCCAGTTCCCAGCACCCACATGGCAGCTCACAACTCTCTGTAACTCCAGTCCCAGGGCATCGGTGCCTTCTTCTGGGCTCCAAGGGCACTAGCATGACCACGGTACACAGACATACATGCACACAAAACATGCATACACTTCAAATAAAAATTATATTAGAAAAATGTTTTTTGAGTTGTCTCAACAGTATAGGGAGACAGAGAGCACATTTCAGGGACTTGCTCACCAAGAAAAACATTTCTGGAAGGTATAGGTCGTGCCATGACAGTAGTACCTGCTGCGCTCACTTCTCACTAGCACCCTGGAGCGTAAGACAGAAGGAACAGTCTGCTCTCGTGATACCGAGTCATTCAGGAAGGTTCCACAGTGACGTCCTTGCCTGAGTCATCCTGAGATTTAGGATACTCAGCCTGGGGCAGGAAAGGCTGCCCCAAGAGGCTGAAAGGAAGCGTAGTCGTCCCCGGTGTACAGAAGCATCCATGCCTGTGCAGTGCAGAGCATAGTGGTCACACCCAAGCAGCTTCCCAGCATGCCGGGTCGGCGTGTGGCTCATCACAGGACCCACGATGCAACTCTAGCCTCTCTCGGTGTATACTTGTTAATGTATACTTGTTCATTAACCCGCAGAAGGTGTGGTCAGGTGCTCTTTCCCCAGGCAGACCATCAGTGAGTCATTAGGATCTTGGCAAGAGAGGAGTGCTTATATTAGCATGCAGGTGACACACTGTTGCAGATAGAAGAGGTCTGGAAAACACCATTCTTGATTTCTGGAGGTAGACTTGCACTCCTCCCATTTCTACAATAGTATGTCTCTAACACTTTGAATTGAAAAATACATGCTAGTCACGACGACTTTATTATGCTAAAGGTGACTCAGGAGCTGGGCATGGTGATGTGTGCCTGTAATCCCAGCACTCAGGACTACAGCAGGAACTTTTCAAATTTGAGCCCAACCAGATCTAAATTTTGAACTCCAGGCTAGCCTGGACCACACAGCACCACCTTTTCTTTTTTTTTTTTTTTTTCTTTCCGGAGCTGAGGACCGAACCCAGGGCCTTGCACTTGCTAGGCAAGCGCTCTACCACTGAGCTAAATCCCCAACCCCACCACCTTAGCTTAAAAGAAAAAAAAAAAACTCATAAAGAAGTGATAGTGTAGCCAAGCAAAGTACATTCACATATTGTATGTAAGTGCAAAAACATGTATAGCGAGAAATTTTTTAAAATGGGGAACAGTCTATTGCCTGCAGCGGATAAAGAGCACAGGAGTTATTTCCAAAGCAATGCCCTCCTCAAAGAAAGCAAGCCTAGGAGTTTTATTCTGGGAAGCTAGACATGTAGGAAATCACTTTGAGGGTGGACATGCTTCTGAGCATGCCCATTTTAAGGTCATAGTTCAAGAAGGAAAGATGGTGGACGGACATACTTCTGGGCAAGCTTTAACCCAAATTCACAGAGCTCATGCTTGGAAGTTAAAGTGACAGACCTGAATGTTTTGGGGCATGCTCAGTCAGGGTCACAAAGATGGTGGACAGGAGCATCTCTGGTCATGCTGAACTCTCTCCAACAACAACAAAACAAGACAGGCCATTATGGAGTTGCATTAAATGGAGGCATTGGCCCTGAAGAGGCCTGCCTTTCTTAGTGGCTAGCAATGGGACTTTGGAGTATGAATGTGTGTTTTGTCACCAAAGTAGAGACAATTTTTTATTTGAAATAGAAATCATGGAAATAATAGTAGTTTGGTAAGATTCTAAATGGTGCTGCTCCACCTGTCTGTCTCTTAGGCTTTACCTGTGCTCTCCAGAAAGAAATTCTATACCAAGGAAAGCTCTTCGTGTCGGAAAACTGGATTTGTTTTCATTCCAAAGTCTTTGGAAAAGACACTAAGGTTGGTGTGTTTAGAAGAAAGGGTTAACATGGTATTGCCTGTTTTAGTAGAAATTACTTTAAATTTAGCTATATTTAAATATTTCCCTCCTTAGCCTGAGTTTATATCCAGTTTCCTTTCTTGTGCTTCCAAATCCGATGGCTCTAAATGCCTCCAGATGATTCTGACTCCCTCCCTTCCCCAAAGCACCGCCTGCTTCCCCCTTTCCTTACACACATCACCCTGTACGTCTCCCACCCTTAGTCCTGAATCCCTTTTACCCACATGTCATCAGAGACACTGATGCATTTCTGGGAAACATGCTGTCATCTATCTCAAAGGCATTCATTAAAAACCAAAATATGTAGCTGGGTGTGGTGGCTCAACCCTATAATCCTAGCAGGAGGGCTTCCATGAGTTTGATGGCAGACTGGGCTCTAAGTGAGTTCCAGGTGAGCCTAACCTACTGTATATGACCCTGCCTCAAACAACTACCCCCTTTGGAAAAAAAAAAAAAAAAAAACAACTTTTAAAACGTATCCATTTTTGTTGTATCCATAACAGTTCCTAGGACAACAGGTTTGTAAATTAGTGTCTTACCCTTGCTGGCACAAGGGACCTGGAACTTGAGTGTACAAGGCTTTGTGTGTGGAAGTCAGAGCCCCATGACCTCAAATATGCTTTGGTGTGGCTGCCTTGAATCCTCCGTCAAACACAAAGTTGGGCTGAGACACAGGACACCCAGAGCTTGCAAACAGCCTCAGTGATGAAGGAAATAGCAGTTTCTCGAGGCCCTGCTTTCTGAGACTGTCCCACAAAGAAGGAAAGGACAGTCGTGCCTGTGAACTATGGCATTCTAGCACAGTTCATTCAGGCAGCCAGAGGTCAGAGGAGTACCTTCCTGCTTTGCATGACCTCAGTGAGTTTTCAGGTACTGTACCTTGAGATTATGAGTAAGCCACTTAATAGCCATAAAGTAGCCAGTTATGAAATAAAACCCTTTGAAATAAATATACTATATCTAAACATTCTCCCTACAGCCACTGGTAATCCTATAAGGACCACTCAACGAATATGATGAATATTCTCTATTGTGCTGGTGTTAGCTCTGGAGAGCAGCATACTTCATGTTCCTTTCTATTATTATACGTTATTCTTAGACAGGCATATTTTGAATTGGGGCATTCTCTGAATTAGTGCAATGCAAAGTAGTATTCCACCATTACTCTAGATTTCAGGATTATAAGAAGTTGGTCAGAGCTGGAGAGATGACTCAGTAGTTCATAGCACTGACTGCTCTTCCAGAGGACCTGGATTCAGTTCCCAGCACCCACAGGGTAGCTCATACCTGTCTGTAACTCCAGTATCTGAAATACTCACACAGACATACATGCAGGCAAAACACTAATGCACATAAAATAAAAATAAATAAATTATATTTAAAAGAAGCTGGTCCATGGGTGATCTGGTCCTGCTTTTCAGTGGGATAAACATGGCTCTGAATTCAGAGTGAGTCTGGGTCTCTAATCAGAATCCAGGAACTGAAGACATTCTGAACAAAGGATTTTTCTTTTTTAATAACGTATAAGTTCACCAAGGCAGTGAGTGAGCTTCCAGCTAGTGGGATTTAGCAATGGTTTGAAAATTGTGCGTGTACGTCAGTGACAAAAAGAAACTGAAAGGAGTATCCCTGGTTTTTTAATACATGGACACACTTGGGCTTCTTCTGTGTGAGCTATAGCTAATCCTCAGAGAGAGAAGACAGAATTAGCAGGGGACAGGAAGAAAACCAGGACAGTGGTCTGTCTGTGTCTTCCCACCCCAAAGACGGTGTCAGAGAGGTTTGGGCTTCAGAGGTCTTGGAGAATTCCCTCAAGGATCACCAGACCTCAGTCCAACATGATCTAATAAGATTAAAGACTGCCAGCTTGTTCTCTTTCTAAACGTCTACCCTGAAACACACGTTACCGGCGAGGTCTTTTCAGATGCCGGTAAAATTGACATGCATATATCATGTTCCGTCTAGTCTCACTGAAAGTTCACGTCGTCTTCATTTCACAAGTTATTCGGTTATAATTTTATAGCCATGGAACAGAGGATTAAAATTCCTTCTGGGTCATTTATGGCTCAGGAAAGCCTGAAGTTATGGCCCCTTGTCACTGTGTGCTTGTGGTACTTGCTCAGAAGTCAAATCGGACTCATCATTATCATAGTAGATCTCAAGTACTTTTTTCCAAAGTAATTCCAATGTCAGAATTATCCCCTGCCCTTGAGAATGTTTATGGGTAGAAATCTTTAAAACAATAGCTTTTAGGAAAGTATCTAAATGGGATCAGTCCCTCATTTTTCACAGTCTCCCTTCCTAGAACTCCTCAGAGGAGAGGATAACCCATCTCAGGGAACCAAATGTGAATGCAGATATTCAAAATTAAGAGGTTGTTTCCGGGCAGCGGTGGCACATGTCTTTAATCCCAGCACTCGGGAGACAGAGCCAGGCGGATCTCTGTGAGTTCAAGGACAGCCTGGTCTACAGAGCGAGATCCAGGACAGGCACCAAAACTACACAGAAAAACCCTGTCTCGGAAAAAAAAAAAATTGTTTCCATTCCTTCAAACTGGCAGAACCAGCCCAAGGCCCTCCTCTTCCCCCACTGACCCACTGACCTCTTTCAGAATTCATGAAGCTTTTTTATAAAATACATGTTCCAGTAAGTGTGTGTACCTATGCATCAAGTCGAATCATTTTTATTTTAAACCATGCCTGTGTGTGAGGCTGTTTGGGGATTCACGGTGATATGGTCATTTTCACTTGAAACCAAACAGTGGTGGTCCCTGTTCTCTGTGTCATCTGATATACTCTTATAGCCTATCATATGGGAGGAAATAACCATTTTGGATCAGATCAGTTCAGATTCCAACGTTTGTAAGTTCTGATGTACAGGACCTTGAATGAGCCATGCATTTCTCCAAACAGATTTCGTGATCTGATATCTAAGCCTTACATGATTGACATAATTAAATGACAGTCTCACTTGATAAGTAAGGAGTGTTGTTACTTATTTGAGCCAGAAATGAACATGTTGTGCATTCTGATATCATGAGACAAATGAGGAACCTGGTAAAAGTTTCTATTCAGCACTGAAAGTCCTCCAAACCTTATCTTATTTAATCCCGAAAAAAATTCTGAATATTAAGGAAGGCTGTCTGAACTTATAAATCAGGAGGCAGAAGCTCTGCTTGGATAGCATGTCAGGTTGAGAAGGTCATGTATATAGTAACGGGACTAAATTCAAGTTCAAGACTTTCTGTCCGGCATGCTTTCCCCTCCCACCTGCACTCAACCCAAAAACCAAGTCCAGAGCAGATCCCGTAAGCCCTAGACCTTCACGGAGCCTTGAGCCCTGATGCATGAACATCAGGATAAATATTTGTTCTGTTACCATGTCTAGAGCTTCCCAGCTGTGCCCTGTGGCTTTGGATACCCCTGTCTGAACAGCTCAGTGATATGTTCCCACCACTCCCAGATTCAGTTTTTCATGAAGCCTGCTGGTAGTATCTTGAGCCAAGTGTAGATTTGAAGTGCTGTGGGTCGTCTGAGCTGGTGTTGACTGGATGGTTCTGTTTCAGATCTCTATCCCAGCTTTCTCCGTCACCCTGATAAAGAAAACCAAAACCGCCCTTCTGGTGCCAAATGCCCTGATCATATCGACGGTCACAGACAGGGTGAGTACCGCAGTGCAGGACCACCTTTGCTTTGTCTGTGGTTATTGTTGTGATTGTTATAATTTAATGCTTTTCAATAGCAAGTTTACAGGAACTGCACAGAAAACAAACAGCGTTAACCGTGCATTGTACGCAGAACAACTCTGGAAAGTACGTCGAAGGCATGGAACCTACTGTGTACTAACAACGCATCCCCCACCATCCAGTTGACACCAATACAGAATTTATTCATTAAAAAAAAAAAGATCTGGGAGCCTGGCAAGTTGGCTTAGTGGATAAGAATGCTAACTGCAAACCGGACAGCTAGCATTGAGTCCCCAGATCCCGCAATGGAGAAAGAGAACTAACTCCCAAATATAGTGCTTTGCCCTCTACATGTGTGCACTGTAGCACTCATGTCCACATACACATCATACACACACATGCATGCTTGCACTGATAATAATAATAGATTAAAACTAAAAAGGAAAAAGAAAAATTTTGGACTGGGTATGGTGGTGCATGCTTTTAATCCCAGCACTTGGGAGGCAAAGGTAGACAGATGTCTGTGAGGTTAAGGTCAGCCTGATCTAAATAGTGAGTTCCACGACAGCCAGGACTACAGAGAGGCTTTGTGTTAAAAACCGAGAGACAGACAGACAGAAACCCAGGGGGGGAGGGAGGATTAGAGGGGAGAAGCCTGGGCTAAGCAACTAAGGGACTGGCAAAAGCCTGGCAGCCTAAGTTTGGTCCCCAGTCTCACAGGTTACAGCCCCCCCCACACACACACACACAATTAATTAGAGTTTTTTCTAATCCTAATGTGAACCAGGCATGCCACCAAGCCTAACGATCTGTGTTCTATCCCCAGGACCCAGGTGATGGAAGGAGAGAACTGAGTCCAAGTTATCCTTGGACATCCACACATGCACCACAACATGCACACACGTGCAAATGCACGCACGCACACACGCACGCACGCATGCACGCACAAAGCCTCTCTTCTGTACCAATGTGCTGGAATAACTCCTGAACTGGGCTGCCCTAACATGCACAGCCAGAAACCTTTCCATTTAGACATTTGTTTCACCTGTTATTTTTATGAAAGTGTAGCAGCTGCCTTCACTTTCTAACCATGCTAGATAACTGAGTATGGATAAGAAGGGAAAATAACAGCTGTTCTAGCCAAGTGTGCACATCTGGGAGCTCTGTACTGAGGAACAAACCGGGAGAATCATAAGTTTGAGGTCAGATTGGACTATGTAGTAAGATAGACAAATGACCAAACTATGTGATAGACAGATGATAGATAAAGATAGATAGATAGATAGATAGATAGATAGATAGATAGATAGATAGATAGATAGATAGATAGATAGATTCTGATAAACTAAAAAAGAAATTAACACGCCTTTTTTTTAATACAAATAGCGATCAAGCACTTACTCTTTGCCAGTGTACATCAGAGCTAGACTTTGCACCTAGATCTGTCCAGTACTAGAGCCCACGGCACCCACTACTCTGGAATACTATGATGTTGACTTGGAGGTTGCATGCATCATTCTCTTGGTGGTCAATGAGAGGGATCATTCAAACTCAGTCTGAAAAGATCCCATGACACACACAAGGAGATTTTCAAATCTTGTAGATGTATCATTTACACAGAAGTAAAATCTTTCCATATGTCATTTGTTTCCAAAATACTTGGCTAGCTTTGATTTTTATTTTTTCCCCGTAACTCACAAGCATCCCATGGTGTGGGCGGAGGGGATGGTGAGGAATGTCCATATTAGTACAAGGAAGAATCTAGAAGTGCCATGAAAAAGAGCAACCCTGTTAGAGCTGCTGGGAAGTTTTCTACAGAAATGTAGGACAGAACAGAGAACGCAGGCCTCCTCCAGGAATCACAAAATACCTTTAAAAACAAAACACTCGGGAGGGGAGGGGACTTTGGAGGACCCAGCCTGTACTACCAGCCTTGCCTTAGTGCCCCGCCCCCGCATCTATGCTTTTAGGGAACACCCATGTCAGCCTTTGGGTGTCTTCATTTTACTCCATTTTTTTAAATTATGCTTAAATTGAATTTGGGGATTTTATTACTATAGTAAGTGAGATAATGACTCAGAGATGTGGCGCCATTGGTAACATGCTTGCCTAGCAGCATGAAACCGTGAATTCAATTTGCAACATCACATAAACTGGAATGGTGGTACACACCTATAATATTTGTCCTTGGTGGGTGGAGGCGGAACTATCGAGAGTTCAAGAGCATCTTTGACTGTATAGGGAGTTTGATGCCAGCCTGGGCCACATGAGACCCTGCCTCAAAAGAAAAAAAAAAAAAAAAGACACAAGGGGGATTGTACTTGTTTTATTCAAGAAATAAAATAAAAATTGAATGTTCAGATAAAAAAAAATGAGGTTATAGTTAAAGTGATGGTCTTTTGTCGTTTGAAAATATAAAAGCTAGGGGCTAAAAAGACGGCTCAGTTGGTAAAGGTATGTGTGAACTACAAAGCCTCATGACCTGAGCTCAACCCTCAAGACCCACATGATGGAAAGAGTTGTCCTCTGATTTCCACAGGGACACCATGGCTCACATGTGAGTGCTCGTGTGCACACACATACACCCAACACTTAATGTAATTTAAAAGTTTATAAGAAAACACAAAACCTACGTGACAAATAATTTTTTAACTCTAAACTCTTGATTGTGCTTTTTTTTCCAGTACATATTTGTCTCCTTACTCTCCAGAGATTCAACATACAAACTGCTAAAATCTGTGTGTGGACACTTGGAGGTGCGTATGACATCAGAATTCTATGCTGCCTTTCTTCGGTGTTTCCTAAGCTCTGTAGTTGATCCGGATTTTCATTTTATTCCTGTGATTTCAGAACACTAGTGTTGGTAACAGTCCCAACCCATCTTCTGCTGAAAATAGTTTCCGGACAGATCGCCCTTCATCTCTGCCTCTGGTAAGCCATCCAAATAATGATCTAAATGCATGAGCAAAAGATGGAGCCACAGCTACCCTGTGCTCACATCACAGCCAGGGCTTGGGAAGAACTCATGACCAGTGTAGTTGGGGGATCGCTGCAGTGCACAGCTTATCTCTCCAGAAGCAGAGGAACCAAAGGAGGCCACTAACTTTTTTTCTAGTAATCTATAGGTTGTTCTACAGAGAAGAAATGTGATAGCGAGACCAGAGGTACCTAAGACCTTGCTTCGCTTGCTTGTCGGTTTTGTTGTGTGTGGTGCTGGGAGTCAAACCCAGGCCCTTATGCATGCTAGCCAAGCACTCTCCACTAAGCTACATTCCAGACACAATGATCCTCTAAAGAGAGCCACAAAGCTCTTTGAGGCAGGCTCAGCTCACAAAGGTCCATTCAGGGTACTTACTGGTGTACACCATCAGAAACCATGGAAAATTAAAACTAATTCTCGCCTTCCAAGACTTTAGCTTAGAAAAGATGGGCAAACTCAGAAATGACTAGGCAAAGCTCTTATCCTCAGGTAGCAGGTATAGCGCTGTTATGGTTCCTTAGGCTTTGTAGACTACAGTGAACACCTCCAGTGGTATCTCCCATTTGTACACAATGCATACCTATAATAGAATTTTGTTTTTCCAAGAGAGGTCTAACAATATCATATAAACCACTGACCCCACACTGATTATTGGTGTTTGCCTTGAGTCAAGCAATATAAACCCATAGTTTCAGTGGGTGGTGGCCCACACCTTTAATCTCAGCACTCAGGAAGCAGAGGCAGGTGGATCTCAGAGTTTGAGGCCAGCCTGGTCTACACAGTGAGTTCCAGAACAGCCAGGGCTGTCCAGAGAAAACAGAACAAAACAAAAACAAAAAAGTTTCAACATCTATGAATCTTCTTTTGCATTTTGAAAAACTAGTGTAATTAAAACATGTTCACATAAAAATTCGAACAGGAAAGTTTACCTGGGTGTGGTGGTATGCACCTGCAATCTCAGTACTTAAGGGCCTAAGACAGGAGAATTGCTCTGAGTTTTAGGCCAGACTGGGCTACATAAGCCATGCTAGAAGACATAGCAAAACCTTGTTTCAAAAACAAAAAGGAATGTTTATAGCAGTATTTTTCATAATAGCCCCAAAGTAGGATAAAACCCTGACATCCTTTAACTAATGAATGGGATGTCTTTAATATAGTATACAGTGGAATATTACCCACTCATAAAAAGGAATTGAAGTATTAATACATGCTACCACATAGATGGACCTTAAAATCATTATGACAAACAAAAACCACAAAGGCTAGATATTACATGACTGCATTTACTGATGCTTCTCAAGTGAGGATGGATCTCCATCTCCACAAAGCTGTCAGGATGATCCACAGCATGGGGAGGGGAAAGGTATGGGCAGTACAGAATCCACACAATGACTTAGACTTCAGCAAACATGGTTTCCAGTCTGAGCCCACCCAGCTGGAGTCCATTCTCATGGAAGTTCCTTCCACTCTGGCCCTCTTCTTTCATCCACTGTAATGCTAGCTGAGCTCACCACATGGGCGGGGAGATCCAGCGCATCCGTGTGTGTAAGGTGGCTCGCACACTGCCCCGTACAGGATAAGCGTCCAGTAAGTCGGGAGTAAGTTGAAGAGACTAAAGTTTTTCACTGTTCAGACTGGGCTGTAGCTCAGTTGGTAGCGTGCCAGCCTAGCATGCACGAAGCCATGGTTCTGTCCCGAGCCAGCACCAAACAGAGCGGGCATGGCGGCACACACCTATAGAGGTCGAGGCAGGAGGGTCCAAGGTTAAAGGTCATCCTCAGTTACCTTGAGACTTGGAGACCAGCCTGAGATAGATGGAGACCCTGTCTCAAACCATTAAGTATAAATCAGTCAATCGAATTGTCACCCTATAAATCATTGTAAGGAATCTAATGAATGTTGAGATGACCCAAAGACCACAAACTCAAACACAGACGTTGCTCATTTGCTTACCAGATGAGTCTTTTCTCAGTTGGCAGCTGAACGGTTAAGAGCTTAGCCTAATTCTGCCTCTGCCGGGGCCAGCTGGGAACACTATGTGTCTCCCTAGGCCTTAGCACTTCAGGGAAGCCAGTGGAATGCAAATTAAAACTGTGACCTTTTCTCACATCTTCTTCCTACCCTCTGTACCTCAGCCGACCCTGATCGGACCTAATTTAAAAGGTTGCAGCTTTTTTTTCTCGGTTTGTTTGGCCAGCAGTATTTTTTGCTTTTCTGTGCCCAGGGTCATTTTTTTTAATTATAATTTGCAATATTTTTGTTTACATATTTGAATGGATTTGAGCTGTTTACTCTTCTCTTATGGTGTCTGCAGCAGTCCGATGTTTCAGGGCACAGTACTGCTGAGACTTCTCAGCCTCCCACTAGTCATTTCTCACCGGCCATCCGGTGCTTTTCTCTAGATATTTGTTTCAAACAAGCCGTGGGCTGTTTCTAAGGAGAATTCTAACCATGCTGAAGAATCTCAGTTTCCGTAACCAGATACTCCCAGGTTAGGAAACTCCTGCAGCGTGTGGTAACCCATGCTTCATTTTCATATTTTATGGGTCAGGCTTAAGCCCGAGGGCTCGGGTTTACAAAGGCCTGCCTGTCTCCTCACGTCATTGTCCCCCCTCAGGATTTCAACGATGAATTCTCAGACCTGGATGGAGTGGTTCGACGACGAAGACAAGACATGGAAGGGTACAGCAGCTCTGGCTCGCAGACTCCAGAATCCGAGAACTCCCGAGGTCTGGGGAAATCGTGTCCTGATTCAAATTTCATGCCCCACAAAACACCCTCCCCTCGCCCACCTCAAAACGAAACAAACAAATAAGAAAAACAAGACCCACCCTTCTCTTCCCAGTTAACAGTTGCAAAGGAGAACTGGGGAAAAGGTTCCTAAGAAAGAGAGTAGCCTCCATGGCAAAAATCCATCTCCTTTGTCCATATTTAACAGGCATCTCTTACACGGATATGCTACGGTGGCTGAGAGAGATCAACGTGAGGTTTCTCACCTGTTTCAGTAATAGTAATAGTAGGAGTCGGTGATACTGTCTGTGGATGCTGCCTCAGCACCCTCGCATCGTTTTATTTCTTGGAGAACTTTGGGCTTCAGTCTCCAGGCACCACATCCCACTCATGAGAGATCCACAAAATGGCCATTATGTAGATGAAGGAGTCGTGGGCTTTGTAGCTGACCCTATGATTGTTAAATATATTGAGGAGCGAATTGACCTTGCCTCATTTTCCTGACAGACTTCCATGTGACCGAGTCTCAGACACTTCTGAATGTCACCAAGGGAGAAACAAAACCACCTCGGACAGATGCCCACGGGAGCAGAGCCCCTGATGGGAAAGCCAAGAGCCTGCCTACGCACGGTGAGGGGCAGGGTTGTTGATGGGCAGGAGATTCCCGTTGGTTGACCTGTAAAGAGCCCCAGTGTTTCACACTGGGATTGCCTCTCATGGTCCCTCCCTTCCTTCCTCTGGTGGGACTTTGCACGTCAAATCCCACTTCCATGTTCAATCAGTAGTTCCTGGTTCTGGGCTTTACCAGGGGTCACCGTGGAAGTTGCCACATTATTCACAGTACTTTGAGATTATGAACCAAAAGTTGGTGGTAAAACTCGTGACTGACTTGTTTCTTACTTATTAACTATAATAATAATAATTAATAATAATGATGATGATAATGGTATTGCATTGTTCTATTGCCCCCCCCCCAATACAATACTTGGCTGGAAAAATCCTCTCAAATATATATTATTAGATGAAATGACTTGGAAAAATAAATGAACCTACTGGTTAAAATACCAAGGAGGAGGCTTCTACTAATACTTTCCCTTCCTCCTGGGAATGACCCCATCTCAAGTACCTCTTCCCTGTTGAAATATTGCTGAGTGAAAGAAGTATGCTGCGGTGCTAACATATTCCTATTTTGGTTTCCACTCAACAGGTCAGTCAGAAACTGTCGGGATTTTGCCTAAAGTCACGTCTCAGAAATGCCCAACTCTCCGTCATATTCTTATATTCTATGCAATTGTGTAAGTCCATATATTTACTGTAAGTGGTTTATGCAAACGATCCGGTTTTGCAGATGAATAATCTCTTCATGTTGCCAAGAGTCATTGTAAATCCCACTTGTGCTGACACAACCCACATATTTTTCTTGGCAATTTCCGTTTCCTTCTTGGGCGTTTTTTTTTTTTTCTTCCCCTCAGGCTTAGGTTAGCCATTCATAATGATTGTGCTGAGCCTGCCACAGGACTGAGTCCTGAGCAACAGTCAGTAATTTCTGAAGCGTCTCTGTCTTGCTTATTTATTTTTCTGTGCGTTCAACTTCTTCTGAACGGAAGCCAAAATATCTTCAAGATGTCATCCATCTGTAACAAGATATCAGTCATCTTTACTGACAACTTAGGCACAGACGTTGTTTAACTTTTCATCAGCTTCCAGTCTATAACCAATTGCTTTTCTGAGAAGATCCAGTTCAGTTCTAGGGTGTCTTTCATACCAGAGGGGAATAAATATGCTCATCTGGTCCCCATTAAAGCAAGGAATTTGTGATTCTCCAGGGAACAAGGTTTGTTGCTCTCTGTTCAGGCTCCTGGGCCAGAGGAAGAAAGTGTCAAAAAGGAACTTCAGCTTAGCCATCCAGCTTGGGTCAGGCCTTAAACAATCCTATAAGAATGGCTGATTTTTGCACTTTGAGGACTTGGGTGGCGGGATTTTAAGTCTCCTTGGTGTAAGTTTTATAATATGTATCAAACCTTTATTTTTTCTTTTTTATTATTATTTTTCTGTTTTTTACTTCATTTGAATGTTTTGCCTGCATGTATGTCTATATGCCACATGCACACCTGGTGCCCATGGAAGTCACAAGAAGCCACTGGATTTTCTGGACCTGGAGTTACAGATGGCTGTGGGTACCAGGAATCGAACTCAGGTCCTCTGGCAGAGCAGCAGATGTTCTCAATTGCTGAGCCATCTCTCCAGTCCCTCAACTTAGCCCAAAGTCTCTTAAGCCTGTGGTTCTTTTTGAAAATGCTCCCAAAGTAGGAAAAAACGGCTCCAAGTTCACTGTTTTTTAAACATCAGTTCCTGGCCATTAACATACTGGAAATTTCTCGTTACCCCTCTCTAGTGTCTGTGCACTGATCGTCTCCACCTTCTACATGAGATACAGAATTAACACTCTGGAGGAGCGGCTGGGGTCCCTGACGTCCATTGTGGATCCCTACAGTACTGAGTAAGATGGCTTCCCCGTGCTTGCTCTTCCGATTGGTGTAACGGTTGACCTAAGTGTAGAGTCCTCCCTAGGAGACACTGAGAATACGTTCTGTGTGAAGTACTCAGCTGGGTGTGCAATGGGGGTGTAAAGAGGGAGAAGGGTCCAGAAATGAGTGACTTAACCCTGCATGATTCCTGTGCTGCTGTCAACATCTCCAACAATACTACAAGAAACATGCCGAATGTTATTCTGCTAATTATCCTAAGATGGTGGTTGTGACCTTGGCCTTAAACCATTCACCTCTATCTTTAGAAAATGGCAGTATGCCAGGCGGTGGTGGTGGTGGTAGTGGTGGTGGTGGTGGTGGTGGTGGTGCTGGTGGTGGTGCTGGTGCTGGTGGTGGCGGCAGCGGCGGCGGCGGCGGCGGCGGCGGCGGTGGCAGCGCACGCCTTTAAACCTAGCACTGGGGAGGCAGAGGCAAGCAGCTCTCTATGAGTTCAAGACCAGCCTTATCTACAGAGTGAGTTCCAGGAGAGGCTCCAAAGCTACACAGAGAAACCCTGTCTCAAAACCACTACCCCCCCCCCCAAAAAAAAAGAAAGAAAAAGAAAAAGAAAGTGGCAGTGAGTCAAAACATTTGTTTAAAAAAAATGATTCAAGCAACTCAGCACATGTCATCACTTGTAATTCTTTATATTAACAAATTTATTTACGGAACCCATGCCCATATTTATGATTACTAATTAGTTGAATGTGTCTGTGAAGATTTTTCATCTATCACTTTTTTTTTTTTTTTTTTTTTTTTTTTTTTTTTTTTGAGACAGGGTCTCTCTACCTAGCCCTCTCTGTACTGGAATTCACTATGTAGATCAGGCAGGACTCAAACTCACAGACCCACCAGCCTCTGCCTCCCAAGTGCTGGGATTAAAGGTGTGCGCCACCACCACCACAGCCCCGCACTTCTCAGTCTCCTAATGTAGAGAGACTTCTTTTCTGCCTCCAGTCCCAAATAACAACAAGGAGACTTCTTATTAATTATGAAAGTTTGGCCTCAGCTTAGGCTTGTCCCACTAGCTTTATGACTTAAATTAACCCATTTATTTTAATCTACATTCTGTCGTGTGACTTGTTACCTCATTTCTCTGTACTGCCCATGCTGCTTCCTCTGCATCTGACTGGCAACTCCACCTTCTTCTGCTCAGAGTTCTCTCTCTACCCAGAAGTCTTGCCTACATCTCCTGCCTAGCTATTGACCACTCGGCTTTATATCACACCAATCACTGCAATACATTTTTACACAGTGTGCAAATATCCACAACATTCTACTGTGCCATATACCATTCTAGACCCTTCTTCACTGTCCACCTAAATTACTTAAAGGTCTTGTTCTGTGTCTTATGCTTGCATACAGGTCATTTGGAGATCACGAATACATATTTGAACCAATACATGTATTCAGAAGCCTAATAAACAATTTAGAACAGATCCATATACCCTACCATTGCCCTCCCGTCATGTTCAAAAATGTTAATACAACTCTCTGTTTGTATTAGAGGTGACTCCAAACGATTGCACACTGTTGCTTCCTATCTTCCAAGGAGTTGCTTTTATTAGAAAAATATACCTCATGTTCTAGTACCATATAATTAACTTAGCAGTAAAGGGGGGAAATTCCAACAAACAAAATGTTCATTCCCCTCTTAAAATCAGCCCAAGAAGAAGTACTATCTAAAAAATAATTTACAAGGAAAAGTGAAACACACACACACATACACACACACACACACACACACACACACACACACACACACACACACACATACATACCACATACAAAGTAAGGTCAGGGGACACCCACAATGGAAGGACGATTGATACAGCATCATTCCAGACCCTGACCTTCCCTGGGCCCTTTGTCCAGAGTGAGCCAGGTAGCTAAATCCACACATGTAATCTGATTCCGCACTTGCTGAGGAGCCTTCCCTTTGAGCCCGTACAGTTGGCCAGTGTTATGAGCAAGCGGCAGGCTCCTCGGGACCACCACTCTTCTCCAGCTCCATGCCTGCTGGTGAGACCATCACTGTCCCTCAGAATTGCCTGTTGATACATCAGTCCTCTCAACCTCAACTCCCCTCAACTAGAAAATCGAGAGTTTAAATTCCGTTTCCAGGAATTAAGGACTTATGAGCATATGCACATGCTCCTAATAGACACCTCTCTTAAGACGTGAGCAGCCATCAGCAATTTACTAAGCACCTTTGTCGCAAAAATGAACCCGATAGAAAATAGGTCAGACCAGTCATTGACATCCAAGAACTCAATCACCAAAATTAAATCCCACCCAAGTGGCACTGAAGAGATGGCTCGGCTATGCAAAGCATGACTGCTGCTCCGCAGAGGACCTACCTGGGTTTGGTTTCCAACACCCACATGGCAGCTTACCACCATCCATAAGGCCTCCAAGGGCACTGTATGCATGTGGTACACAGATATGCATACAGACAAAACACTCGTACATGTAAAATAAAAATAAATAAAATTTTAAGGAAGCACACCCAAGAAATATACAGATGATGCAGACCACGGAAATATAAGAAGTGATATTAGCGCATCCTCCAGGGAAATGTACCTACTTGTAGCTCTCCAAAGTTCCTGTGGGATTAGCTGGTACAACATCCCGGTATAGAATTCCAGCCATGAGTAGTCAGTTGGTATGATGAGTATGATGAGCTATATTTGTATATTTATACAAGTCATAAGGAAAGAACTGGGAGGGAGGGGTGACCCTCATGGCTGTGAGGAAATTTAACTGGCTTCATAAGGATACTCCCTGGCTTTTCAACCACTCTAGTGTAAATGGCCCTTTCTACCATCTATCATGGCTGAGACCAGCAGTCCGTCATGAACACGTCGCTGTCGTGGGGATGGCAAGGATGCTAGGATCTGAACAAAGGCCCTAAGAAACCACATTCTTGAGAACAATTGTCTGAGTTTTGTGTTCAAGCCAACACACAACAAGGCACTTGAAGAAAATTCGCTTAAGAGATTTCATGCTAAACTCAGAACTGGTCAATACACATCTACCTTAGAGTTGAGGATTACTACCCAGCCTTTGTGACAGTTACAGGCAAAACGATGCTGGTCCTCTCTTCCACCCCATAGTTTTCTGTTCAAACATAACATTCCATGCCTGTCTTTGCCATGGTCGCTCTTAATGATGTTTCTCTTTTTCCTTACAGGCAGACAGTCCCATCGGGCCTGGGATCACCAGTACAGTTAAATGTGGAGGCCCTTTGCCAAGAACTTACAGCTAACATAGTGAAATTAGAAAAGGTAAGTTGATTTTTCCCAAGTACGCAAGCAATCTGGTGGTTCCTTTCTGCTGCTACTGGCCTTTCTTTTCTCCCCCCCCCCCCCCCCCCCCAGACAGGGTTTCTCCATGTAGTTTTGGTTCCTGTCCTGGATCTCGCTCTGTAGCTCAGGCTGGCCTTGAACTCATAGAGATCTGCCTGGCTCTGCCTCCTGAATGCTGGGATTAAAGGCGTGCGCCACCGCCACCACCGCCGCTCGGCTGCTACTGGCCTCTTTTATTTCCATAAACAAACAGAATTTAACAGAATTTAATCTCACCACAAAATAGTGATTTAGCTGGTCTATCGCTTGTGTCCCCGGCTGGACATGAGACCACTGGTAAGTGATCAGTGACACTGGGGTTCATGGAGGTTTGCATTTGGGAGTCAACTAGAAACTACTGACTAGCTACAGAGTGGACTCTCAGCTCACACAAAACAATGTGTCTAATCCGTTACCACCTTGACTCATAAGGAATAAATAAAGTTTTAAATTACCTTGCTCCAAGTGGCAGAGGTCGAAGGCTGTTATCTGGGGACCTGGAATTTGAACCGCTGGCCAAGTTGTGGTTAGAAGTCTACTGCTTGCTTTCTGCAAGTGTCCCGTTAAGAACACTAACTGCTCCTCCAGAGGACATGGATTCAATTCCCAGCACCCACATGGCAGCTCACAGCTGTCTGTAACTCCATCTCCAAGGTATCCAACACCCTCACACAGACATATATGCAAACAAAACACCAACGCACATAAAATGAAATAATAAAATCATTTAAGAAAAAAGCTGGGTGTGGTAGCACACGCCTTAAATCCTAGCTCTTGGGAGGCAGAGGCAGGGGATCTCTTGAGTTCTAGCTAGCCTGGTCCGCAAAGTGAGTTCCAGGACAGCCAGAGCTACACAGAGAAACCCTGTCTTGCGGGAGTGGGGGCGGGGAGTCTTCTGCTTAGGACTGGCTCAGTGGTAGAAAGTGTCTTTAGCACTCGAAAGGGTGTGGTTCCATCCTAACAGTAAATAAACCTGCCTCTCATTTGCTACTCATGCTTCTATCTCCAAAGTGCCTTCCCTGGGTCGGGCCTGTCCTTAGCTTCATTCATAGATTTAAGACGGTAAGAGGATGAATGAGGAGAGGACCATTCATAACTATCCTGGACATACACCTAATTACCAGGGTTTACTTCTCCTTTCAAACAGTCCAGTCCTTTCGAATCTCCTTCGGTCTTACCCTAATCTGAGGCTCTCCGGAGCGGGACACTGTTGTTTTTCAGTTTTACCCATTCTGACTTGTAAATGCTGTTCTTTTGGATCAGATGCCCACAGAATCCTCCCTCCTCCCCTGCCTGGCCCTGCCAGGACGCCACAGAAGGGTTTGTTCACCATCCACAGTTGGCATGTCTGTGTAGGGCTCAGACCCAGCCCAGCTGGGCAGCTGGGGAGACTGCTGGAAATGAAAGGCGACCACTCGCCTCCCGAAGCAGAGTCTGTAAAAAGTAGATTGGGGCCGAAATGTTCCCAGAGGTGGCTGAGCAGTTGCCTGGCGCAGCCCGGGAACGAAAAGGCCCAAATACACTGTGGGAAATCCTGAGACGTGGCTCGGCTCTTTGCAGCAATCCCTTCCCGCTGTCGGAGACCGGTCGTATCTATGCTTCGTGGTCAGTCCTCAGCTCTGCTCCCCTGTTTCTGTTCACGGTTGTCACTGCCCCTTCAGTCACGCTCACAGGAAACCCAGGGGCGACCCCACCCCTGCCCCTCAAGTCCCGTGAGGTCTGCCCTCAGATGTCTCCCCATTCCTTGTCTTTCAGTCCCACCGTGCTGGCCCCTGAGTATCGTCTGACACTGTGAAATCGAATCCCATCGTGAATTGTCCTTAGAGTTTCTATTTATTATTATGGGATGTGAGAGGGTATGAGGAATGTGTAGACACGGGCCCCTGAACACATGTAGGGGTCAGAGGACAATTTTGGGGAGTCAGTTCTTTCTTTAGTGGGTTCCAGGAACAGAGCTGGGGTTCAATAAACTTGAACAGCAAGTACACCCATCAAGCCATCTCCATGGCCCCTATTTATATTTTCTAATACTCCTGAAAATCAGCATTTGATATATTTATTGGCTACTGGATTTTTGACTATCAGTTGCTTATTTATCTCTTTTGTTTGGGTTTTGCTCTTTTTTTGTTTGTTTGTTTGTCTTTATAGGTATGTTTATCCTTTTTTTTTCTTTTTTGGTTTTTTGAGACAGGGTTTCTCTGTGTCGCTTTGGTGCCTGTCCTGGATCTCGCTCCGTAGACCAGGCTGGCCTCAAACTCACAGAGATCCTCCTGCCTCTGCCTCCCAAGTGCTGGGCTTAAAGGCATGTGCCACTGCCGCCCAGCTCTCTCTTTCTTTTTTAAGACGTATTTTATGTGTATGAGTATTTTGCCTGCGTGTACATAAGAGCACCACGTGTGGGTCTGATGCCCAGAGAGAACAGAGGAGAGTATCAGATCCCCTGTGACTGGAGTTTCAGACAGTTGGAAGCCACTGTGTGGGTGCTAGAAACTGACACCAGGATCTCTGCAAAACAGCAAGTTCTCTGACCCACTGAGCCACCTCTCCCCACCCCCAATTTTATTTTTTGTTTTGTTTTGTTTTTTTTGGTTTTTGGTTCTTGTTTTTTGAGACAGGGTTTCTCTGTGTGGCTTTGCGCCTTTCCGGGAACTCACTTGGTAGCCCAGGCTGGCCTCGAACTCACGGAGATCTGCCTGGCTCTGCCTCCCGAGTGCTGGGATTAAAGGTGTGCGCCACCACCGCCTGGCCAATTTTATTTTTTAGATTTAAAAAAAAATTTTATTTTATGTATCTGAATGTTTTGACTGAGTTGTGTGTATTTGCACCTGGTGTATACAGTGCATGTAGAGGCCAGAAGAGGGAGGTGGACACACACACACACACACACACACACACACACACACACACACACACACACCTAAAGCTGGAGTTAAAGACAGTAGCGAGCTACCACTTGGGTGCTGGGAACTCGGGTCTTGGTTACTTCTCTCATGCACCCCAAGCCCACCTGCCTAGGAACGGCACTGCCCTCTGAGTTGCGCCTTCCTCCATCAATTATCAGTTAAGAAAATGTTTCACAGACAGGGCTGCAGGCCGGTCTCATGGAGGCAGCTCCTCCACTGAAGCTCCCTTTTCCCAGGTGTCACTAGATGTGTGACAAGGTGCAGCTAGCTGTGACATCCCCTGAGCCATCTCCCCAGCTCAGAATGCTTTAAAATTCGTCATTAGAGCCGGGCGGTGGTGGCGCACACCTTTAATCCCAGCACTCGGGAGGCAGAGGCAGGCGGATGTCTGTGAGTTCGAGGCCAGCCTGGACTACAGAATGAGATCCAGGAAAGACTCCAAAGCTACACAAAGAAACCCTGTCTTGAAAAACCAAAAAAAAAAAAATAATAATAATAGTTATTATTATTATTTTCTTCGGGCTGGAAGTGGCATTCATGGTAGAATGATGTAGTAAGAAGAACATAAATTTGGGTCTTATTTCTGTTTTTATTCTTACTCTGTCACTTGCTGTCTGTGTACACGGTCCTGTTACTTATCCTCCCTCACCCTCAGTGTCAGATGTAGACCCAGCCTGTGTATGGGGTGCCACGGTCAAGGCGAGAATACCCGAGGACCTGCCCACGCATGCTGGAGGCCCTTTCTTTTTCTTACCCTGAGCGGGCCTGTAGGATGTCATAGACTTCCTCCAGGCGGTGTCTTAGTTATGCAGTGCTCTCAGTGAAGGCTTCAAATTGGGTAATTCATAAAGAGAAGGGGCACATTAAGCTCTCAGTTCTGGAGGCCGGGAGGTTCAAAGTAGGGAGGGCGTACCTAGTGAAGGACTTCCTGCAGATGGGAGCTCCGTGATGAGACAGAGAGAGCTTGCTGCCGTGGGTGTCTCTTCATATCAAACCATTAACGCCATGATGAGTAAAGCCCCACCTTAAAGTACCATCGGCATAGGACTTTGGGGGTTCCATTTCAACCTGCGTTGTGTTGGGGGACACAAATAGCAGGCTGTAGAAGAATATGTTTTTTTTTAATCCACAGGTTCTCTACACCTATCAGTAATATTGGTTGTTCAGAATCCCTTGCTGTGAATTCTTTAAAACTCGCCTATTCTGTGTTTCCTGAGAACATTTTAATGCCCAACTGTGGACTGTAGTCTTGAGGTCCAAACATATGACGTAGTTGGTCTCTCTGGAAGCCAGTCTTCTGTGGATGTTATGCATAGCAATGTGTAATGGAATTGCTAAACATTATGTCGCTAGTTAAAACCACAGGGCGGAGCTGTATATTTAAATTTAACCTCCGCATAGCTTTTTACTCTGGGTAGAACAAGGTCCTAGCACTTCCCGGCCATAGCAAATGTACTTTTAAGAGGGGTTGGGGATTTAGCTCAGTGGTAGAGCGCTTACCTAGCAAGCACAAGGCCCTGAGTTTGGTCCTCAGCTCTGAAAAACTAGATAGATAGATAGATAGATAGATAGATAGATAGATAGATAGATAGATAGATAGATAGATAGATGATAGATAGATAGATATACTTTTAAGATACATATTGCAGTTTATAACAGCAGCATCTCTTTTATCGTTTCAAGATACAGAACAACCTACAAAAGCTGCTTGAGAATGGTGACTGAGGGACCAGATGCTGGGGCCAACATAATACCTCGTTTTCCCTTGAAGAAGGTGCTTCCCGAGAGAGTCTGCTGTGCGCCCCCTGCTGGCCAGAGGCGCAAGAGGCTGAGAATCCAGATGTGTTTGCACTTGGAGCTCTCCAGCTCCGGAAAGGGGGAAAGGGAATGATTTTGCTTTTGTGCAATAAAAGTTGACCTTGTCTCTGCTGCTGCCTGAAGAAAACAGACCCATCTCGGGAGGTGAGCAAGGTCCTGGAGGACCCCTGTAGCGGGAGAGTTATGGTGATGGTCAGTAAACACTGCACTCCATGCTTTTCAGCCCTCCCCAGCCTCCTCTCGGCTCCCTTCACCCATCCCAACCAACCTTCAGACCTAAGGGGTACACCGTATGCCAGCAAACTCAATATGGTCCTTTAAATTAGCCATGAGCCTCCAACAAGGCAGTGAATATTTCCAGATGAACAGGCTTGCTTCAGACACCTGCGTTTTGGTCTCTGTTTTGTTTTGGTTTTTTTTTTCCTTCTGTGCTTATGTTCTGATTTCTTTTGTCTGTGAGTTTTGGTTTTTCATTTTAGTTTTGTGAGCATGTCTGGTAAAGTGAATTAAAGGTTGCATCTGTGTTGGGCTGTTTTGTTCCCCGTGACTGGTACTTAATTGGAGTGATTCTCCCCCACCTCTGATCAGGAATCTTTGAGGTGGCAGACTGAAGTACTGAATTAGATTCACTCTGAAACCACAACTAATCCTTAAGCCAAAAGTTGTGATAGTGATTTCCTATGCAATGGAAAGTACTGTTTCTAAGATTCTAAGTGGGCTACAGTAGCAGTTTTGAGCCAGGATGTCTGTGTTGGACTCTAAATCCCATTTCAGCATGGTAATTGGCTGTCTCTCTCCTACAATAAAGCAATTAAGTGGTGGTTTGCTAACTTTACTTACAGTATGGGTTGGATGTTTTTTATTAATAATTATTTAGGGTACCGTAAGATCTGTAAGTGTAAAACATTCTATCTGCAATGCGTTTTATAATCATTTCTATGAAATGTATTTTGTTTAATCAGATAAGCTAATAAGTGGATTGGTTACATCATTTGTATTTTGTCAGCCTACTGGGTAACTGTGCCTGGTGCACTGACTTTTAATAAATACTCATTGGCTAAAACACTCTACGTAACACTGTTTCCTGGGTTTGTCGACTCTTTTACCTCAGACTTGCTGTGCCTTTTAAATGTCCTCACCTCCACACTGTGACTTTCATATTCACCACCACCACCATGGAGGATTTATTTCAAAAGTCAAAAAAGATACGTTAAGTTTTTTGGGTTATAATGATGTCAAGGAAAGAAAATGAGCTTTGAAATCAGGAGACGAGTTTTGATTCCTAGGTTTGATTGACATTTTATGAGGTGTCTGGCCTCAGACAAGGTAACTGGCCATCCTCTTGCCTGCTTTGTTCATGAGACTGAAAGTACCAAAGAAAAAGTGCCAGTGTGGATATGATGAAGCCGCTAAAACACACAACTTTGTTGGGCGAGTAGTTTCCCTCTTAACAGGTACCATGTTCTTTTTTTTTTTTTTTAATTTTATTTTATCTGTGTGGGGGGCTGGAGAGATAGCTTAGTGGTTAAGAGTACTGGGTGCTCTTCTATAGGTCCCGAGTTCGGTTCCCAGCATCCACATGATGGTGGCTCACAGCCATCTGTAATGAGATCTGGTGCCCCCTTCTGGCCTGCAGGCGTACATGTGGACAGAACACTGTATACATAATAAATAAATCAATCAAAAGAAGTTTTACCTGTGTGTGTGTTTGTGCACGTGTATGCAGGCGGTCTGAGAGGACAACTTTCAGGAGTCGGTTCTCTCTCTAAACCACAACTTCCAGGCATCAAACTTAGATTGTCTGGCTTGCTTTGCAAGCACTTTTACCCCCTAGGACCTCACTGTTCGTGACCTGCCACCTAGAGGTTCATCTTAAAGCAATAATCAAGTAAAAATCAGTTTTACGTGTAGGAATATTTTTTGAGAGAAGATCTTACTATGTAGCTCTTGCTGGAACTTGCTATATATAGACCAGGCTATCCTCTAACTCACAGAGGTCTGGCTACCTCTGTCTTCTAAGTACAGGGATTAAAAGCACGTGCCATACCCAGCCTCCAAGAATGATCTTTGAAGCTTTCTGGTAGCAGAACAGGTTTTGTTTTGGATTTGGGGCATTTATTTATTTATTTATTTATTTAGAGACAGGGTTTCTCTCTGTAGCTCTGGTTGTCCTAAAACTTACTCTGTAGACCAGGCTGTCCTTGAACTCACAAAGATCTGCCTGCTTCTGCCTCCCGAGTGCTGGGATTAAAGGCTTACGCCACCACCGCCCAGCTCGAACAGTTTTTAAGAAAGGTACATTGTGGAACGTTGCCATCGTTTGGACGCCTCCCTGTTAGAATTCCTTCCATCTCACCAGCCCAGGATATCCTTTTATGTACTGCTCCCCACCCCACCCCCATTTTATTACACTTATCTAATTGGAGGGGGGGCAGTATATATACTATGGCACATGTGTGACCATCAGGTGACAACTTGCAGGAGTTGACTCTCTGAACCTATGGATCCCAGGAATCAATCCAGGTTATTAGGTTTGGCAGCAAGCCCCCCTTTCCCCACTGAGCAGCCCCCTCATGTGCTGCTTTTAAGCGTGTATCCTGACACAAATGCTGTGGCCAGATTAACTGACAGAGCCAAGGCTGCCATCACACGTGTGATCCCCCACCACGGCTTCCCTGGTGCTGGGCTTTCAGGCATACGCTGCCCCGTACTGCTTAATGCAGCATGCTTGATTGCCTGAATTTCCAGGCCGTCTTTGTTGTTTCTAGACACAAAGCCTTTTCTAGTGTGGGAAGAAAGACTGAAAACCACGTTTTCTATTGTGGTTTTTCTTATCTTTTGTGTTTCTAACCACTTAATGTAGTCTTTTTTAACCCCTCTGTACACACACACACACACACACACACACACACACAGCATCCACCACACCAATAGTCTGTGTATGGTAATGAGAAATGGGAGATGAAATAGCCCTTGCCTGCCAATAAAGCCACTGTATAAATGGGTCCTTATGACTCACACAACTCATTATCCTTTAGATCTTTAAGAATCTGGCCAGAAAGCCTCACTTGGACAATGCTTTCTGAAAGTAGCCTTAATACACAAAAGTATGAGAAAACGCATCGTGGAGGAGTATGCATCCATTTGTCCTGCCATCACTCTACCTAATTTTTTAAAGATGTGTTTATCTTATTTTGTACGTGAATTGTTTTGCCTGCAAGCACGTATGTGAAAGGATGATAACCAGAGTTACAGAGAGCTTTTTGGGGGGGAAGGAGGGGATAGGAGAGAGGAGAGCCTGGCCTGGAGAGGGAGAAAGATGGCAGGAGCAGAGCAGAGCAGGAACAGAGAGAGAGCGTGGGGTCTGCATCCGGCTTTTTAAGGCACGGATGTATCGCCCTGATGACATAAGACGCAAGACCCCGAGCTGCGCATGTGCAGGAGTGAGGGCAGGCTCCTACCGGTGGACACCACTCCTTTTCACAGATGAGGAAATCCACACAGAACAGCCAGGTAGCGTTCCCTAGAAATCACATACCTAGTTAAACCTCAAAGCAAACTTTCTCCGAAACCTGTGAAAGTGCCCACTTGAACGGACGACAAGACAGCCCTCTTAAAAATGACATTTATTTTGTGTGGTGGGTGAGGTATCAGGACAACTGCAGGAGTTGTCCCTGGGGGTGAACGGGTTGTCTGCTCGGCCGCCGAGTGCCTGCTTAGCAGCTGGGCATTCTCTGTTTTTCTCTGAGTTGTGGGGTTCGCCCTCTACTCTGAGTCCCAGGTACTCGTCAGTCCTGGGCTGCAGGAGAGTGACGGCAGAGCTCTAGCTCAGACGGCCTCTGCTCTTCCAAACTCTCACGACTCCATTACATGCTACGGAGAGAGCTAAGCTGTATCCAGTTCCGCCTGCACCCCGGGACCCTAACCAGGCTCCTTTCTCTCATGCCAACCCGGCTTTCGTTCCCTTCTTTCCAAGGACCTCAGCCCTTTTAGCCGTAGCTTCTCCAGTACCAAGTCACATACATCCCTTTAGAGCCTTTCTCAGTTTTATTCACGGGTTTCGTCTGGATCTCTGTAAGTTCAAGACCACACTGGTCTACAGGAGATTGATCCAGTATAGGAGAGAAACCGAGTCAGGCTGTGGTGGCACACACCTTTAACCCCAGTATTTGGGAGGCACACATGCCTTTAATCCCAGCACTAGGAAGGTTGAGATAGAAAGTGAAATGGCTGGGCGGAAAAAGACATACAAGGTGTGAGGAGACAGGAACTAGAGGCCTTTTCGGCTGAGGACTCCGAGGCATTCAGTCTGAGGATTCATGGACATCAGCGGGGGAGCTGGTGAGGTGAGAAGTGGCTGTGGCTTGTTCCTTTGTCTCTCTGATCTTTCAGCATTTACCCCAATATCTGACTCTGGGTTTTTATTAAGACCATTGAGATTCGCGCAACATTCTAGAACAAGTCTGTATGGGTATTCTCATTTCTCCTTGGAAAACAGCTAAGAATTGAAAGGCTGTGTCTCATGACAATTATATGATTAACTTTTTAAGAAACTAAAAAATGTACTGGAGAGGTGAAAAACATACTGTTTTTTTTCAGGGGACTTGAGTTCAGTTCCCAGCAGCCACGTCAGGCAGCTTACAACCACCTACAACTTCAGGACATCCAATGCTCCCTGGCCTTCTCAGGCATCTGTAAACATACACACACACACACACACACACACACACACACACAGAAAGAGAGAGAGACATGCATACACACACAATAAATAAGTATCCTTTAATCCCAGCACTCGGGAGGCAGAGCCAGGAGGATCTTTGTGAGTTCGAGGCCAGTCTGGTCTACAGAGCGAGATCCAGGACAGACGAAAAGCTACACAGGGAAACCCTGTCTCGAAAAACAAAAAAACAAAAACAAAAACAAAATTAAAATGAAACCATAATCTACTATCCTAAATATACATTCCCATCACCAGTGTATGGACTAATTCAGCCAATCTTCACCCACATGAAATATACAGTCTTAAATTAGTGCGCTAATCCAGTCACTTGATCTCTGCCTGGGCTCAGATGGCACCCCATGACCAGAATCCTGTTAGCACACTTGACCAGAGAAGTTCATGCATTTCAGGCCAGCACATGCAGCCTTTGGATTCTGGGGAAACCTCAAAGGCTACTGTCAGTGGTGACTCTTACCCCTTTGTGGATCAGTAAGCAGGACAGGATACTGATCCCTCTAAGCTCTTGCTTCCACTAACCCTGCACCATGGAATTAAGCGGAGGCAGGTTCCTTTTGCCCAGACGGATTTGTGTTTTTGAGACAGAGTCACATGTGGCTCAGGCTGGCCTCAAACCTGACATTTTGCCAAAGATGACCTCGAACACCTGATTTTCCTGCTTCCACCTCTCGAGGGCTGGATTACAGGTGTGTAACTCCCACATCCAGTTTATGCCATGTTGTGAGTGCTAGACAGGTACTCTACCAACTGAGCTATATCCCTAGATCCTAAACGGATTTTGGAATGGAGTTTTTTAGTTCCATTTTCTTTATTTCATGTGCATGTCTCTGTGTGAAGTTTTTTAATTGTATTTATTTAGTGTATGCCTATGCACGTGTGTGTGTGTGTGTGTGTGTGTGTGTGTGTGTGTGTGTGTATGTGTGTGTGTGTGTAGACACACATGTGCTATGGCAAGCATGTGGAGGTCAGAGAATAACATGGAGTCATCTCTCTCTTTTTACGGTGTGTACCATGTGAGCGCCCCGGATTAAACTCAGATCAGGTCATCAGCTGCAGCTGCGGGTACCTTTACCTGATGAGCTATTTCTCCAGCCCCTTGAATGAAGATTTTTAGGAAAATGACAGTATATATAAATATTTCTAGAGAATTGAGTCCCACAAGTATTCACCTTCTTATATCAATACTTCAATATCAGCAATAATCATTCATTAAAAAATGGCCCATTTGCCGGGCAGTGGTGGCACATACCTTTAATGCCAGCACTCGGGAGACAGAGGCTGGTGGATCTTTGTGAGTTCAAGGCCAGCCTGGTCTACAGAGCGA